ACTAAGTTTGGACTCCTTTGAATCTAATAAGGATATACTCCACTTTATCTGTTTATTATTATTCTATTATAACTTTAGACGACCCCAAATTTGAAAAAATTCCTGACTGTATTTGTGCGGGTAACACAAACCAAAAAAGGAAATCAAATTTTGTAAATAAACCAAGTGTGTAAAGATAGAAGTTTAGGGTTAGAGCATTAACATTAGAAGTTATAACAATAGATTGTTGTTCGTTATATGTAAAATTTCGTTTCCGAAAATTTTAATTAGTGAACCAAGATCGATTTAAACACTAGTTTTTGAGTATTTTCGCTTTTTTCTTCTTTCGCACATGTTCGGAATTCATGTCGGAACAATCAAATTTTGTGCACTCCGATTGGCCATTTCCTTTCTAGGGGTTTGTAATTTGTGGTTGATTACAGGCGAGAGCAGCGCGCTAGGGGGTTTTTTGAAAACGCGTAAAGAATTCGTTAATACAAGAGTTCGTCAATATAGCGTCTATACAAGGAAAGTATGGAATCTTATTTTATACTATCAATTGCGCGCATCCCTACTGGCGTATGGCCATTACGTCCTGCGTTAGATGTTTGGTGCTAGTCTCCAGGGAAGTACTTAAACACCTTAGGCCTGATCTCTGCATGCTAGCATCCAGGATGTGTGTATACCTACTGGCGTATGGCCATTGCGTCCTGCGTCAGATGCTTGGGGGCAAGCCTCCAGGGAAGTACTTGAGTGAAAGTACTCGAGGCTGATCTCTGCATGCTGTTTCCAGTATACCGTTGACTGTACACTTCGATTATTAGTTTATCATATCATATACAATAAATATATAGTTATTTATATTAGTTAATAATTTATACTCCTTTTTCCTTTCTTTTTAAGATGTTCGAGTTTGTTGTAACAGAATATCTTAAAAATACAAAATACAAGTATTGGTCAATTATCTCAATCTTAGAGTACACAAAGTCAAAATGCCAATTATATACCGATTCCATTGACAATCTTAAAGAGGATATCTACACAGCTTTACGTAAATATAAAGAAGACCCAGACAACCACGTGAACGTAATCAACAAATTGGACAAGATTCTATCTAATTTTGAGAAATTATTTTCTACGACCGAAGTAAAAGAATTTGTCGACAAACTTCGAGAAGAACAAGAAGAACGTGGATTTGATACAGCTCTTCAAGTCAATGTGGCATCTGCCTGCGCAATTAAAGCCTTAAAGGTAAATTTTGAAATAGTATCAGAAATAAATTCTACAATGGCCTAATCTACAACTCTATTAGGGCTATCACATGAATCAAACAGTCATCAATAACTTAAAAAATGACAAATGCGAGGTCAGTAAATTTATGGTTGTGGCCAAATTTATAGCTGTGGACTGATTTATTAATCTGATTTCATTTTTTATGGCATCTTCTAGGAAGGACCTTCAAAAACGAAATCCATGAAAAGAAACAAGGATGATGTGAGCTCAGAGATAGAGAATAGTTCAGAATATGATGAAAGGCCAAATAAAGTAAGAGATAAAAACATTCCTTTCAGTATCTTTAAAAATTAATAATCGATATTTTTTCAATTCAGATTAAAAAACAGACTACAAATGACATTGAAGAAGTCATTAGAAACAGCGTTACAAGTGATGAATCAAATGAAATCAAAATCAAGGTATCCGACGAAATTGAAGAATCCTTTGATAGTGGCGTAAGTTAATATCAGATTTAATTTTATACAATTTATTTTATTTTATCTAACTAATGTTGTTTTTGTCAGTATAAAACGCCTCCTACTGGTCCACAAAATAAAACTGTGATGACCACTCCTCAAAAACCTACCCTTTTCGCGATTCTGTGAAGTATATGGACAATCATTTCTCAGTAAATATTAATCTGCAATGCGTCATAATGAAAGAAAAGTCAGTTGATACTATTCCAAAATCAGTTCGTGATTGGATTATAAATGTATTGTCTGTAAGTTAATATAAAGTTTTTTTTTTATATGATTTCTGGATATAAATAAATTTTATTAAAAAAACTTCTATTAGTCCGAAAAGGATGAATTCAAAAGTTCCATCATAACTTCGCTAATTCCTGATCACAAATTCCGAAAGATCTGTGAAATTATTCTTTACGACTTGTAGGTATTATTCAGGATTTTATGGCAACATTGGCAAAATAATTAATTAATACTCCTTCAATTTAGTTTTTCAATGGCTAGCAAAAATCCATTAAACCGCTATACTGGAGAACGAAAGTATACAGTAGAAAGAATTGTACCATTGTTCAAGGCGATACAATCTGTTCATAAAGAATTTATGTTCGATTGGATTGAAGTGCAACTTAATTGCATCAAGGATATAAAGGCGTTGTTTCCCAAATTTGATATGACGCTTAATAAAGCAGATGGTGTTGGTCTGAAGGTTTCAAGCAATAAGGAAGTGGTATTTATTGATATATCAGGAGGTCCGGAAGTTACTAGTGCGGTAGTAAAACATGCCAAAGAAGATACCGAAAAGCTGATCAAGGAAGCGATGTTTGGGTTGGTTTCTCTTTTGAGAGATTATTTAGACAAGAATGTAGGAAATGCAATGAAAATATGCACATACATGGTGCAAGTCATTGGTAATATATTTATTATGTATCGATTCTTTTTGAAAAGCATAAGTTCATACCACGAACTTTGTCTCAATAAAAAGCGTTCATATATGGTTTCGCAAATTAAGTCGGCAATGTTACCATTTTCATTTAACGAAATTGAAAAGTTCTTGGAAGTTTTCGAATTGCTTCATGCCCTGATTGCAAGTATTTTTTACATATGCTAATTAGATTTTTTTTTCTTGAGAGTTTTAGTATAACATCTACATTTGATTTTAGAGTAGGCTTGAAGAACAGATAAATGGGCTAAAGAAGTTGATGCTTTCCAATACTATTGAAGGAGAACCAACGGTTCGAGACTGGATTTGGGTCCCGAATTCAATTACAGAATGGGAAATTATAAATATAAATGATGTAAACACTTGATTTTGTTTATTTACAAATTAAAGCTTTAGAAATAAGATACTCGATATTTTGTTGAACATGTTAATTTGTAATAAAAAATAAAAATCAGTTTCATAATGATATCGAAAGAGTTAATCTGAGGCACAACATATGTATATGTTGTACGTCGGAATGTAATTATTGTGGATTTAGAATCCACCTAGGTTGATTCCAAATAAATATAGATTGCATTAGAATTCTAAAAAATATGCCCAAGTCGTTAGAGAATTCCAATTCAACTTACAATAAATTAAGTGTATTTCAAGTTACTTCATCGAGTATGTTGTTTTGGAATTTAAGTCGTTTTAAGATAGAGTCTATTCATAACGCGGCGCATTGCAAATTAATGGGATGGCAACTACTGTACTCTCGCACATTTTTTAATATTTACGATGATTTTTGTCATACGCGTTTTTGTAATTGCATTTAATATTATCTATGTACTTGTGAAGAGGATTCATAATAGACGTGTCTCGAACGCTTTTAATCTATAGTCATCTCTTTCAATAACGAATTTAAGATTTTAGAAAAAAAATTTCGGTATAGAAAATTACTAAGGACCCTTTGCATTTTATGCCGAACTATTGTAAACTTTAAATTTTTGCGTTCGTTATATCCAGAATCAACTATACTATTTGATTTTGTAAACTTATCAGAACCCAATGGAAGAAATTAACTGGAGTTATACTAATTCTAATAATGCCAGATTTTCATTCGAATTTATATGAGTCATTCTCCAAAACTTTGGGGATTTTGCAGGGAAGTGTCTTTCGATCGTTGTACAGTACTTGTATCTTCTGGAACGTGTAATACCTTAATACAAACATCAAAGTCTTCATGGTTTATGTCGACTTATGAACATTTATTGTAGTATCAAATTTTAAAATTAACTTAAGCCGCTATTAAATTTATCGATTATTACAGTATCAAATTTAGAATCAACTTAAGTTGCTTTTAAATTTCGAATCAACTTGGGTCATATTTGGAATTCCATTCCAACCTGAGTAGATACTAATAGGGATGTTAAATTGCGAATCCAGTCCGGTCCGGTCCTAGGATCTAAAAGGACGGTCCTGGACTCGGTCCTTAAA